GCAATAAAATAAATAAATGGGGGGAAAAAAAGAATCTAGCAAATGCCTTATGATCTGGAATGGTTTTATTCCAAAGCCACTCCACAATGGTCTGTGAAAAAACTGTATTCCATTAAAGCCGGTCCAGTCCCTGGTACCAAAAAGATTGGGGACTGCTGCTCTAACCCACAGGGAGTACTCATCCTTGAGAAACGGACAGTTCAGTGCACCAAGGCAAACTTCTGGGACACAGGAAGCCAAGACATGTGCTTTTCAGAGTTCAAGAGCTCCCTGTCTGGAGCTATAAGTGGCCCTGCTATCACCAGCAGCAGAAGCTCTGTGTTAGGCTTTGCACGTAAAAAGTGAAATCCCCTCCCATGAGTGGAGCAGCCTCTGTGCTTGATCTCAAGAAGATAATGGAAGCCCGTCTTCTCTCTGTGCATACCAGCACCTACATCTGCTACAGGCTGGGATGGGTGAGCCAGTGGCTAACTGGGGCTGTGAGTGGTGACTGCAACCCCACACCACAGCCACTGTCAATACCAGCCCACAGCAGAGGGTCATCCCACCACTGTTATTGACATTGTCCATATCACACTTGCTCAATTACCCAAGAACCTGCTCATTTGCCTGGCCCACTGTTGCCACTACTCACATATAAGCAAACCACATGGAGGCCGAAGAATTCACCTGCCAGTAACTGCCAACCCGGGTGCCAGTGTACACTAACCTACGGAACAAAGATAGTCATGCTAAGCCCACTGCTGCTGCCACTTAGGGCTGTTAACTGGCCCACTTTTCTTCCTAGTCTCCAGTGCAGCTTCTTCATAGCCTCTACCAATAACTGACCCCTAACCTTGTGAGAAAAAGTCACAGAAAGCAAACACTGTTTACAGCCAAGTAAATCATACAGAGGCTACACTAATGCACACACAAGAATCAAAACGTTCCCTACCCAACCAACACCAAAGATACATTTTCAGGAAAGTTCTCCACTAGGAAAGTAAATTCAAAAACAGGAAGACATGATTGGTGGACCAGTTGCACCATTATCAACATAAGGACACAGGAAACATGAAAAAGCAAAGATATATGCCATCTCCAGAAAAACACAGTTGTTCTCCAGCAATAGATCTTAATCAAAAGACATCTTCAATATCCCAGATAAGCAATTCAAGATACTGATTTTAACAAGCTCAATGAGCTACAAGAGAATTCTGAAAAATACAAAAAAAGTCAGAAAAATAACTCAGGATATGACTAAGAAAGGCGTCAAAGAGTTAGATTTTTTTAAAGAACAAAATGGAAATTCTGGAACTGAAAAATTCACAGAAGAAAATACAAAATGCAGTTGAAAAATCTTGAAAAAGCTGAAAGCCTTTTCTCTAAGAACTGGAACAAGCCAAGGATGTCTACTTTCTTTTCTCCTCTCCAACATAGTACTGAAAGTCCTAGTTAGAGAAATCAGAGAAGAGAAAGAAATAAAAGGTATCCACACTGGCACAGATGAAGTAAAATTATCTCTCTTTTCTGATGATATAATCTTACATCTGAAAAACCTAACAACTTCACCTAAAACCTTTTAGATTTGATATATTCAATAATGTTGCAGTATACAAAAATCAGTGTACAAAAATCAGTAGTGTTTTTATACAACAATAGTAATCTAGCCAAGAAAGAATTCAAGAAGGCAATTTCATTTACAATAGTGACAAAAAATTTAAATACCTATAAATGAATTTAACAAAGGAGGTGAGAGATCTCTATAAGAAATACTGTAGAGCACTGATGAAAGAAATTGAAGATAAGGTAAGCAAGTGGAAAAATATCTTACACTCATGGATCAGAAGAATATTGTTAAAATCACCATACTGCTCAAAGCAATCTAGATTCAATACAATCCCTATGAAAATGCCAACCTCATTCTTTACACAATTAGAAAAACCAATCCTAAAATTCATATGGCACTAAAAAGAGCCCAAATTGCCAAAGCAAGCCTGAAGAAAATGAACCCAAGCTAGAGACATCACACTATTTCAAAATATATTATAAGGCTAATCGAAATGCATGGTATAAAAATAGACACGTAGACCAATGGAACCAAATAAAGAAGCCATAAATAAAGCCATATATTTACAGTCAACTGATATTTGACACCAAGCTGACAAGAATTTACACTTTACCAATTGGGGAAAGAAAACTATTCATTAAGTGATGCTGTGACAACTGGACAGTCACATACAGAATAAAAGTCAACTGCTATTTTTCACCATATACAAACATCACCTCAAAATGGACTGAACAGTTAAGGATAACACCTGAAACTATAAAAATACTAGAAGAAAACTTAGGGGGAAAAGCTCTCCTGGACATTAGCCTAGTTAAATAATTTATGACTAAGACTTCAAAAGCACAGACGACTAAAACCAAAATAGGCAAATGGGAATTAAACTAAAAAGCTTCTTCACAGCTAAGGAAATAATCAACAGCGTAAAGTAATAGCCTGTTGAATGAGAGAAAATGTTTGCCAACTATTTATTAGACAGGGGCTAATATTCAGAATACACAAGGAAGTCAATTCACCAGGAAAAAAACAAACCCATTTAAAAGTGGTCAAACATACAAATTCACAAGACAACATACAAATGATCGATAGGTGTAAGAAAAAAATGGGCAATACATTATTAATCTGAGAAATGCAAATCAAAACCACAATGAAATATCTTACACTATTCAGAATGACTGTTGGTAAAAAGACAAAACGAAATAACAGATGTTGGTGAGCATGTGCAGAAAAGGATATTCTTGGTGGGAATATAAACTCATACAGACACTATGGGAAACAGTATGAAGATTTATCAAAAAATCTAAAAACAGAATTACCATTTTCATCAATCTTACTACTGGAAATATACTCAAAGGAAATCAAATCATCAATGTATGAAAAGAATACCTGTACTTGCATGTTTATTGCAGCACTATTCACAATTGCAAAGATGTGGAATCAAGCTAAATGCCCATCAATGGATGAATAAAGAAAATGTGGTATATATACACAATGGAGTAATACTCGGCAATAAAAAAGAATGAAATAATCTCATTTGCAACATGTATGAACTGAAGGGCATTATCTTAAATAAAATGCCAGGCCCAAAAGACAAATATCATGAGTTCTCACCTATATGTAAGAGTTAAAAAATTTGATCACATGGAAGTAGAGAGTGAAAAGATAGATAATAGAGACTGGGAAGAGTGTATGGAGAGGAGAGGAGAGGAGAGGAGAGGAGAGGCTGAAGTGAATTAATGGACACAAACAGCAAGATATAATAAATTCCATGTTTTATATCAGAGTAGGGCAACTATACTTAGTGAAAATGTATTATACTCAGGTGATGAACACCCTAAATATTCTGACTTGATTATTGTGTATTATATACATGTAACAAAATTTCATGCGTATTCCACAAATTTGAATTATAAAAAAAGATGTGCTACATAGAAAAATTATCCCAAAGCAAGCAATGTCTAAGCAAGAACTGAAGAATGAACAAGAATCAGCTAGTTTGGGTGGGAATGGCTAAGGCAGAAAGAAACAATGTGTAAACGGCCAGAAGATAAAGAGGGCATGTAGGTTGGAGGAAGTGAGCTATGTTCAGAATGTTTATTAGAATAAATACCATGTGGCATATGGGGTATTGAGGTAGAGAATGACAACAGTGAGCAGTGGATCTGGAAATGTAGGTAGGAGTGAAACCATACAGCATCGTTGTAAAAATGCCCAAGACCCATGAACATTCTCCTAAGAATTTTATAAGCAGAGGGAATTGTAGTTGGATTCATACTTTAGCAAAAACTCAGTGGATGCGATATGTAGAATAGTTTGGAGGCCCGTGAAGACAGCAACTAGATAGTTTGAAAACAATTTAACTAGTAATGGAGTTGAGGGCAGGCGGGGCGCGGTTGGTTATTGGGAATTTCAATGATGAAAATTGATAAGTGTTTAAGATACATGTTGGGAACAGAGTTAACAGAACTGAATGATCTATTCAAAGAACGAAAAGAAAATGGGAAATCACACGACCCCTAGAGGTGGACAGTGTTACTTACTGGAATATGAAAGCAGTGAGAGGGAATAATTTCTGGATGAGGGAAACTGGAAAATAGATTTCATTTGGGACATGCTGACTTTCAGGTGCCTGGAGACATCTAGGTGGATATGGCCAATATTGCTTTGGAATATATAAGTCTTAAGTTGAAGAAAGAAGCCTGAGCTAGTGATTTAGAAATGAATGCCAGGAGCAGAGAAAGAATTAAAGGCTTTATTCAACGATAATTGTTGATTAACAAGACAGCCTAGCACAGAGCTCATAAGGAAAACCATCACTGAAGCGTTGGGCAGAATCTATGAAAAAGAATGGGAAGGAATGCATGAAATTAGGAGAAAAACCCATGTGAAGCAACAATGTGGAATCCCAAAAAAATTTTTAAGTTTTTTTTTTTTTTTTTAAGAAAAAAAGGTTGCCATTGACACCATCAAATGCTGCACAAAGTTCAAGTAAATTTGGCATTATCAAGACCAGATTCAGTGATCTTTAGGATATAAAGACCAGATTAATGGTGGATTGACAAGTAATTGCAAGATGAGAAAATGGAGACAAAGTGACAATTTCATGCATGTTGGCTGCAAAGAATAGGAAAGATACAATAGTAGTTGAAGGAGAGGTTATAATAAAGGGAAGACAAGAGACTGATTTGTCTCCTTTATTCTGATTATGCTACTTTAACAAAAGAAAAAATACTCTATGCCAAGTCTAGCTACCACTCAAAGACACTGTAAAAGCTATGGTCAAACAGAATTTGAAGGCTACATAGGAAAATCAAGTTCACCTTTGGCCTAGAATGGAAATCTGGAATATACAGTGATTTTGCAGACCTAGGACTTTTATATTCATGTATATTTATAAATGCATTTAAAGGATTTAGATATTTATTAATTTTAGTACAGACTATTGAAACACATCTATAAAGTTTCCCTAGATTATATTTTTATATTTTTTCACTATTTTGAAAATGAGATGCTAAAGTAGTTGATTATAAATGATATTGCTTTTAAGTAACATTTGACATGTTAATTATTTTTCTTCATGATTCTCCTATTTACAATGTTTTAGTATTTATGTTTCAGTATTTTGAAACCAGATGCTGCATTTTACAATTTGATGAATTCTAATTCATTCTAAACAACAATGCAGACTTAATTTTTTGTTAAATATCATAGTGGTGTTCTTAAGAGATATTAAATTAATGCTATCAGTTCAAACTTATTACAAAGAAGGTATTTCTAAGAAACAAAAAAAAAATAGGTTGATACTTTGCCATATGAAAGGTTACTTAAAAATTTATCAATTTTTGGCAAATATATAAAGCTAAGCATCTTGATCAATTGGCTTTTCCCTGGAAATGGCAAATGACTATCTAATTATATCTGACAAACAAGTTTAACTTCACAAGGTGAAAATTTGAAAAGGCCTGGTCTGCCAGTGAGCGTAATATTAGCTCAGAAAGCCTGGTATTGGGATAATTAATCTTTTTTGAGGTCACTGTATAGAGAGGATGTAGGCCTTGGTTAGGTATCCCTGCATAAATTCAATGAGCAAAGCATACTATAATTCAACCACCTCTTTTTTAAAAAAATACTTTAAGTTCTGGGATACATGTGCAGAATGTACAGGTTACATAGGCATACACATGCCATGGTGGTTTGCTGCACCCATCAACCCATCATCTCCATTAGGTATTTCTCCTAATGCTATCCCTCCCCTAGCTCCCTACCCCACAACAGGCCCTGGTGTGTAATGTTCCCCTCCCTGTGTTCATGTGTTCTCATTGTTCAACTCCACCTATGAGAACATGCATGTTTTCTGTTCCTGTGTTAGTTTTCAGAGAATGATGGTTTCTAGCTTCACCCATGTCCCTGCAAAGGACATGAACTCATCCTTTTTATGGCTGCATAGTATTCCATGGTATATGTGTCATATTTTCCTTATCCAGTTTGTCATCGATGGGCATTGGGGTTTGTTCCAAGTTTTTGCTATTGGGAACAGTGCTGCAATAAACACACATGTGTATGTGTCTTTATAGTAAAATGATTTATATTCCTTTGGGTATATACCCAGTAATGGGATTGCTGGGTCAAATGGTATTTCTGGTTCTAGATTCTTGAGGAATTGCAACACTGTCTTCCACAATGGCTGAACTAATTTATACTCCCACCAACAGTGTAAAAGCATTCCTAGTTCTCCACATCCTCTACAGAATCTGTTGCTTACTGACTTTTTAAATGACTACCATTCTAACTGGCATGAAATGATACCTCATTGTGGTTTTGATTTGCATTTCTCTAATTACCAGTGATAATGAGCTTATTTTCATATATTTCTTGGTCAAATAAATATTTTGAGAAGTGTCTGTTCATATTCTGCACCCATTTTTTGATGGGGTTGTGTTTTTCTTGTAAATTTAAGTTCCTTGCATATTCTAGATATTAGCCCTTTGTCAGATGGACAGATTGCAAACATTTTCTCACATTCTATAGGTTGCCTATTCACTCTGACAATAGTTTCTTTGCTATGCACAGACTCTTTAGCTTAATTAGATCCCATTTGTCAATTTTGGCTTTTATTGCCATTGCTTTTGCTGTTTTCATCTTGAAGTCTTTGCCTATGCCTGTGTCCTGAATGGTATTGCCTAGATTTTCTTCTAGGGTTTTTACGGTTTTAGGTCTTACATTTAAGTCTTTAATCCATCTTGAGTTAATTTTTGTATAAGGTGTAAAGAAGGGATCTAATTTCAATTTTCTGCATATGGTTAGCCAATTTTCCCAACACCGTTTATTAGAGAATTCTTTCCCCATTGCTTTTGTCAGGCTTGTTAAATATCAGATGATTGTAGATGTGTGGCATTATTTCTCAGGCCTCTGTTCTGTTCCATTGGTCTACATATCTGTTTTGGTACCATTACCATGCTGTTTTGGTTGCTGTAGCCTTGCAGTGTACTTGGAAGTCAGGAAGCATGAGGCCTCCAGCTTTGTTCTTTTTGCTTAGGATTGTCTTGGCTATATGGGCTCTTTTTTGGTTCTATCTGAAATTTAAAGTTTTTTCTAATTCTGTGAAGAAAGTCTATAGTAGCTTGTTGGGGATAGCATTGAATCTATAAATTACTTTGGGCAGTATGGCTATTTTCACGATACTGATTCTTCTGAAAACAAATGTTTTGCCATCTATTTACATCCTCTCTTATTTCCTTTAGCAGTGATTTGTAGTTCTCCTTGAAAAGGTCCTTCAGATCACTTGTGATTTGTATTCCTAGGTATTTTGTACTCTTTGTAGCAATTGTGAATGGGAGTTCACTCATGATTTGGTTCTCTATTTGTCTATTATTGGTGTATAGGAATGCTGGTGATATTTTGTGCATTGATTTTTCATCCAGAGACTCTGCTGAAGTTGTTTATCAGCTTAAGGAGATTTTCGGCTGAGACGATAGGGTTTTCTAAATATACGGTCATGTCAACTGCAAAGAGAAACAATTTGACTTCCTTTCTTCCTATTTGAATACCCTTTCTTTCTTTCTCTTACCTGACTGCCCTGGCCACAACTTCCAATACTATGTTGAATAGGAGTGACGAGAGAGGGCATCCTTTTCTTGTGCCAGTTTTCAAAGGGAATGCTTCCAGCTTTTGCCCATTCAGTATGATATTGGCTGTAGGTTTTATAAATAGCTCTTATTATTTTGGGATATGTTCCCTCAATACCTAGTTTATTGAGTTTTTAGCATGAAGTACTGTTGAACTTTATCGAAGGTCTTTTCTGCATCTATTGAGATAATCATGTAGTTTTTGTCATTGGTTCCGTTTATGTGATGGTTTATGTTTATTGATTTGTATATGTTGAACCAGTCTTGCAACCCAGGGACAAAGCCAACTTGATCACAGTGGATAAGCTTTTTGATGTGCTGCTAGATTTGTTTTGCCAGTATTTTATTGGGGATTTTTGCATTGATGTTCATCAGAGATACTGGCCTGAATTTTGTTGTTGTGTGTCTGCCAGATTTTGCTATTCGGATGACGCCAGCCTCATAAAATGAGTTAGGGAGGAGTCCCTCTTTTTCTATCATTTGGACTAGTTTCAGAAGGAATGGTACCAACTCCTCTTTGTACCTCTGGTAGAATTTGGTTGTAAATCTGTACCTGGGCTTTTTCAGTTGGCAAGCTATTCGTGTCTGCCTCAATTTCAGAACTTGTTATTGGTCTATTCAGGGTTTTGATTTCTTCCTGGTTTAGTCTTGGAAGGGTGTATGTGTCCAGGAATGTATCCATTTCTACTAGATTTCTAGTTTATTTGTGTAGAGGTTGTTATAGTATTCTCTGATGGTAGTTTCTATTTCTGTGGAATCAGTGGTGATATTTCCTTTCTCATTTTTAATTTGTGTCTGTTTGACTCCTCTATTTTTTCTTCTTTATTAGTCTGGCTAGCAGTCCAACTATTATGTTAGCCTTTTTAAAAAACTGACTCCTGGATTCCTTGATTTTTCTAAAAGGTATTTCTGTCTGCTTCAGTTCTGTTCTGATCTTTGTTATTTCTTGTCTTCTGCTAGCTTTTGAATTTGTTTGCTCTTTCTTCTCCAGTGTTTTGTTTGTTTTAGAGATGGAGTCGTGCCCTGTCACCAGGCTGGAGGGCAGTGGTGTGATCTTAGTCCACTGCAACCTCTGCCTCCCGTGTTAAAGTGATTCTCCTATCTCAGCCTACTGAGTAGCTGGCACTACAGGTGCACACCACCACACCCCGCTAATTTTTGTATTTTTAGTAGAGACAGGGTTTCACCCTGTTGCCCAGGATGGTCTCGATCTCTTGACCTCATGATCCACCTGCCTCTGCCTCCCAAAGTGCTGGAATTATAGGCATGTCCCATGGCCTCCAGCCTCTAGTTCTTTTAATTGTGATGTTAGGCTCTCAATTTTAGATCTTTCCTACTTTCTCTTGTGGGCATTTAGTGCTATAAATTTCCTTCTAAACACTATTTTAGCTAGGTTCCAGAGATTCTGGTACATTGTGTCTTTGTTCTCATTGGTTTCAAATAATTTGAGTTCTGCCTTAATTTCTTTATAGCAGTCATTCAGGGACAAGTTGTTCACAGTTTCCATATAGTTGTGTGATTTTAAATTAATTTATTAATCCTGAGTTCTAATTTCATTTCACTGTGGTCTGAGAGACTGTTACAATTTCTGTTATTTTGCATTTGCTGAGGAGTGTTTTACTTCCAATTTTGTGGTCAATTTTAGAATAAGTACGACATGGTGCTGAGAAGAATGTATATTCTGTTGAATTAGGGTGGAGAGTTCTGTAGATGTCTATTAGGTTCACTTGGTCCAGAGCTGAGTTCAAGTCCTGAATATCCTCATTAATTTTCTATCCTGTTGATCTGTCTAATATTGACAGTGGGCTGTTAAAGTCTCCCACTATTATTGTGTAGGAGTCTAAGTCACTTTGTAGGTCTCTAAGAACTTGCTTTATGAATGTGGATGCTCCTGTAATTGGTGCATATATATTTAGGATAGTTAGCTCTTCTTGTTGCATTCATCCCTTTGCTATTATGTAATGCCCCTCTTTGTATTTTTTTTTTATCTTTGTTGGTTTAAAGTCTGTTTTACCAGAAACTAGGATTGCAACCCTGGTTTTTTGTTTGTTTGCTTTTTTTTTTTTTTTTTTTGCTTTCCATTTGCTTGGGTAAATATTCCTCCATCCCTTTATTTTGAACCTATGTGTTTCTTTGCATGTGAGACTCGTCTCCTGAATACAGCACACCAATGGATCTTGACTCTAGCGAATTTACCAGTCTCTGTCTTTTAATTGGGGCATTTACCACATTTACAATTCAGGTTAATATTGTTATTTGTGAATTTGATCCTGTCATTGCAATGCTAGCTGGTTATTTTGTTAGTTGATGCAGTTTCTTCACAGTGTTGATGGTCTTCACA